TTTTACTCTCTGCGCAATCTCGTTAATTATTAGCGTTATTGCAGCTTCTTTCTATCTGTTATTCCTAAGCATCTAAGCGATACTCTGCTCTATTTTATCGCCTAGTACTCTAGTAAGGTGCTTAGCTAACGCGTAGGCAGATAGCTCCTCCGCGTTAAGGTTAGGCAAGTTGTCCTCTATGTTCTAATTCCTTATTAGAGGGCTCGTTTCTGTATGTGCCTGCTTCTCGTGCAGGGCTTCCCGATTAGTATTCTCTCCTTTAATTGCTCTAGTCTAGTAGCTAAGCTTCTTGTAAGCTTCTGCGTTGTGGCCTACTCCTCTACGGTAAGGACTAGTAGGGCTTCCGTAGCCTATTACTATACAGGGCTTCTATAGCTTGCTCTTAATAGCAAGGCTTATCTAAACAGCTTTTAATTGCCGTTGTAGTTGCGACTTTTAGTAGTTCCTTTAACCTTACGCTTACGATCTCGTACTAGTTAGTACTTTAACTTAGTATCGCGGCCTATGCCCTACTTAATAGAGGACTAATAGGACTTCTAACGACAGCTCGCTTCTTAGCCGCAATTTAGCTGTTACGTAGAGTTATTACCTGTTCCTTAAACCTTAGAGGACTAATAGGACTTTAACTGCAATCGCTTACCTCCTTACAAAGGTCTTTTACAAACAGCAGGACCTACACCTCTGTACTGTCGAGGTATCGCGTAGGGCTTTTACTAAACGGTACTCCGCGCGTAACTAGGATCTACTAGCTGCACTATACACGTTTACCGCTAGACGTTACGCAAGGCTAGTAGCGCGTTAACTAAGCGTCCTACGAAGCTGCAGTCCTAGGCTAGCAATCTTGCAATAGCTTATGCCTAGTTGTTATTTAAAGGCCTTTCGTGCCTTTGTACAACACTAATCCTGTGCAGCAGATTAACCTACTCGCACGTAACAGAAGAGGCGGTTAAGAAGCTTAACGCGCGTCGCGTTAACAGAGTCTTAAAGCAAGGCTCTATTAATTAGGATCGAATACAAAATGTAAGGGGCTACGCTTAGGGAGCTATCGCACAGGTATACTAGAGTTGTATTTGATAGAGAAGAGAACTACAGGTAGCTAGGGTTCTAAAGGTCGTTTAGGGGGCGGTAGCTTAGGATAACCTTCTGCTAGGCTCGCTTGCACAGAATCCAGGTGCTTAGGGGGGGCACCCGGAATCTGTAGACAGTGCGCCTCGCGCACGTGACTAAGATATTATCAAGGACTTACTAACTAGGCTCTAGCCTATTACAAGTTAGCGCGCTTTTTAATGTCGCTAAACGTAAAAAGATAAGCACTACGTAAGTAGGATTTCTTTATAAACTTAGGATTAGGATAGTAAACTATAATTAAAGAGTGTAGTTTGCGTTAAAGGTGCGCTTAAGTAGTGTAGAGGTGTTGTTGTAGTAGTAGTAAGCAAGAAGGGAGACGAGAAGTTTTTCTATTACAACAACAGTAAATAAACAGTTACTACAACAAAATTAGTAAACAATAATCTGCATTTACCTCCGCGAAAAATCTAGTTACCCTAAAATAGGAAGTAAATAACGTTCTGCATTTACTACAATAATGCGAGTCGCGTTTCTTACTTACCTAAATTAACATCTACTACGACATAACGTAGCGTTAACAACGAACAAGCGCAACACATTTTGCGATAGTAACGCACCCTTATAACGCAAGCGTAACGCTCGCTAAGCGTACAGTATCTAGACACTCTTTTCCTAATTTTCCTTTAAGGGTTTAGGTTTTTATTAAGGCTAGGACTATTAAGGACGCTAGCCTAGAGGAGGAGGCTCTGTAACACAGGATAACAGAGGCTAAACGAGGGGGACGATTATAGTCTTAACATGTTTGCTTTTCTCGTAATCGCCTTAGCTTCTAAACCTGCTTATAAGCTGCGCCCTGCGCGTTAGCAGAAGGGCAAGAATTATTCTTACGACCTCCCTACCTAGTGTAGTAATACAGAGCTTTCCCCTACTATTCTCTTATAGTGTAAAGCAAATACTATTGCCTATAACTACCCCTTACACAATCCTTCTAGAAATGTTTAGGTTTATTACATCCCTAATAGATTATGTTAGGGTCTTTTAGGCTACTAGGGTCTAATTTGCGTTGCTTCTTCTTAAAGTTCCCTGTAAAGGCCTTCTTAGCCTTTTTCTAGGTCTTAGGGGGCCTTACACAATCTTTATGTGTAGTTCTAGCGTAGTCCTCCCCTTTTGCAGTTAGATGCTTTACTATAGGTATAGTTTGCTTTGTCTTGTTCTAAATAAACTGTGCTGCTGTTATAGTAGAGTGTTTTAGTAGTTCTCTATCGGAACGTGTACTTAATGCAAGTAAGTAGAGTATATTATGTATGTTGTATGTGTAGTGTTCGTTGTCTAAACGGGGTTTAGACATTCCTGTCCCTTTTCTACTCTCTGTATTATCTCTAAGCCTAATAGCCCTTTAGATCTGCAGTTCCCCTAGATTCTCTACTACACTATGTTAACCTTAGATACTATGTTAATATCCTTAGGGTCCCTACTTATAAGTTCCTTTTGTATCTTAGGGAGGAGTGCGCCTATAAAATCTATGCAGCGCTGTTCTTTAGAAACGTGTTCTATCTTGCTCTATAGTGTGTTAAGTTAAGCTAGAAGGACGTTTAGATCCTAATTATGCCTTTATCTAAGCTGTTTTAGGTTGTTATAGGCCTAGAGACGTCGAATTTCTAAGGGCCTAAGGCAGTTAAGCATTACTACCTTAAGCTAGGCCTAGGTAAGCTCCCAAAAGGGGTCCTCTCGTAGGTAGTCTTCGCGATATGTATCCTAGGTAGATCTAACAGTTTTGTCTAGAAACTTAATCCTAAAGTCTACTCTTTAGGTGTCTGTTGCGAAGCGTAAGGGCAATCCCCTAAAGATTGCCTTATAGTTACGCGCCTAGTAGTTATACTGCTAGCGATTGTAGTTTGTAAACGTCTCTAGGTCCTTAGGGCAAGGGGCACCTAGATTAGTAACGCTCTCTACTCTTTAGGATAATAGTGCAGAGAGAGAGACCTTATTAAAGGCTAATAAGTCTCCCTGTTGCACTTTGCGTTTAAGTTCCCTTAGCTTAGTTAGCTTGCAGAGGTTTTCCTCCCGCTAGCGCTAACGCCTAAGTTCCTCTAGCTCTTGTTTTAGCTTATTCTGTCTAGGGGCGTCCCCCCTAACAGTAGTGTTAGACTCTTCCTAAGAAGCTAGTTTAGGTAGTGCCCGTGTGTTCTAGCCTAGAATAAGGCGTCCTAGGTTGTTAGTAGTTAAGGTAGGCCCTTCCTAACAAACTTGTTAACGTCTAGTGTTAGGATGCAAGAGCTTAAGGAGTCGCGGTCTGTAACGTCCCCTACTAGGTTAACCTGTTGCTTACTAGCCCTTCTTAAGTTACGAGTTAAGGCGCTAGGTAGACTAGCTCTAGAGCTTATTATTACAAAATTAGGTGCACGTAGGTATTGTAGGGAGAGCGGTTTAAATGTTAAGTAATAGAGTCTTTAAAGATACGAGATGCACAGCAATAGTGTAGGTAGAGGTATATTGCCTTGTAAGACTAGAGACGAACTGCTATTAAGCTACAACAGCAGTAAGGTAGGCTAATATACTGCAATTGCTTAGCATACTAGCCTAAACAGGCCTAGAGTAGCCTAGTGCCTAATATAAAAGAGAAGGTAAGCTATAGGTGTTAGATAGGTTAAAGACAGATGTCGCACGGTTAGGTGCAGGTATTGTAGACAGAATAATTAGGAGAGAGTGTATGTATTGTTTTTAGTATCCTAGCTTAGTGTTATAGGCAGAAAGAGGCCTACTAACGAGTATGCATTTGCTCCTATGTACAGAAGAAGAAGGATAAGGAAAAGAAGAGTAGCGTCCTACTCGTACGGTATTTATCCTCCGTACGCTAATACAAAGATAGATAAGCGGGAAGTTCTTTGGCGTAGCCTCTTATAGTACTTAGGCGTAGCCCCTTACACTTAGCTTATATAGAGGTTATTGCACAGCGTTATTAGTAATAAGGTTTATATTCCTAACAGCACTTAGCCTGCGACAACAGAAATAGAGGGTCTATTATTAGGGAAAGGAGGTTGTAGACAGAAGATGTCTAGTAGTTAGACAGGTTAAGAAAGGGTTAGATTGTGAACAAGCTAAGCAGATAATGTACTTTGTGTTGCTGTTTAGCTGTTAGATAGCATGTGTTGCTGTCTAATAGAAGGCTATCTAGCAGGCAATTTAGCATTAGTGTCGATTGCAGCTATGTTAGCCAACCCGCCTCGATCCTACTTCGGCCTTATTTGTACGAGAGCATATACATCGTGATAGCACTACCTTCTAGGGAGGGGAGATAGAAAGAATTAACATCTATTAATTCTATGCATTATCTTATCTAATCTGACATTAGCTTACGAGCGAAAATATAGAAAAGTGCAGTAGTAAACTAACTTTGCAGCTTTATAAGGAGAAGCGTAGTTCTAGGTAGGGCCTACATAGTTTAATAGATAAGCTAACAGATTAAAAGAGTAGATATAGGGGTTTTAGGTATTACTAATGTAAGGGGCTACGCTCAGGGAGCTATCGTACAGGTATACTAGAGTTGTATTCGATAGAGAAGAGAACTACAGGTAGCTAGGGTTCTGAAGGTCGTTTAGGGGGCGGCGGCTCGGGATAACCTTCCGCCGGGCTCGCTTGCACAGAATCTAGGTGCTTAGGGGGGGCACCCGGAATCTGTGGACAGTGCGCCTCGCGCACGTGACCAAGATATCATCGAGGATTCACTAACTAGGCTCTAGCCTATTACAGTAGATTAAAGAACTAAGATATTATTAGAGATAAGAGAGCAAAGGGCTTTAGCTTATTACACTTCAACACAATTCTTAGGGAGAGGAAGGATTATCACACTAACAACTGCTGTTTAACATTACTATACTATATGTGCTGCAACTATATTACTACAGAACAAAACGTGGACATGTAAACACGCTTCATAACGATGTACCGATACAATAAGCATACTTAGGCCAAAGACCACTGCAGTCTCCGTTAAGTGCCGGATTTAACGCATACAACCTGTCCAACGCAATACCTGCTGCCTTTGCCATGTCAAAACAGTAAACTCCATCCTTTTGGAGAACCCATTTATTGCATTTAGCATCGATTCCGGCTTGAGTTGGTCCAGGAGCAGGGTTCTTAACCGAAGTAGGAGATGTAGTAGGCGGTGCTGTAGGGCAAACGTACTGGCCCTTCTTGAGATCGAAGGAGCAGATCCAGGGGACGAAAACTGTCGGAGTTTCAAGAGGAGGTTTAGTCGTGGTTGCTGTGCCTTTGGCGACGCAGACGTTGTCACCGGGGAACAGATTATTGCAGTCTTTGTTTGCTGAGTTCCACGCGTAGAAGTTGTCAAGTGAGATGCCGTTGTCGTTGGCAATTTGCCAGCAGCTGTTTCCGCTTACGATCTTGTGGAACTTTGTGCAGCCACATGTCATTCCTGTCTTCATGGGTTTAGCCCCTGGGCCAAATAGTGATAACATGAGCTACATACCTGGATAGGGGAAGGTGTAACAACCCCAGCAGGAGTTGAAGGACACGTTGCAGTTGCAGCAGGTGTGGTTTGGACCGACGAGAAAGTAGTAGAGGTTGGGGTTGGAGTTGGAGTAACCACTGGTGTTGGCGTCGCTTGTGTGGGCAGAGCAGGTGGCGTGCCGGACCACTCCACACAGTACTCCTTGCCAACTTCGAGGGCGGAGCAGACGGCGCCCGGATTGTAGCTGAGGAACTGAGCCTCAGAGATGCTCCAGAGGTCTGCAAAAGACGCGCAATTGTCGCCCTCATAGGCAGGCCATGTGATGGAGCAGTCTCTTGCTTGCAGCTTATGGGGCTTAGCTTCCACGGCATTGAGAAGAGCATATATGCCCATGAGAGCTGGAGTGCTAATCATGATGAACAAGATATGACTACACAAGATTGGCATGAATATGCTGGATGTGGGTGCACAGGGTAGTGCTTGCTCTAGTATTTATGATATTACCTCAGATTCACTCCGTCCATTTTCACTAGTGCCGTTTCCGATCTGATGTTGCCTAGAATGCGCCGCGTCCAAAAAAGCTCTAATTCATCGGTCGGAAAAGGCATTACTTACGATCTCGAGCCTAGTGAGGTCCTTTCGTCGGTGATTAGCCACCAATTTCCCAAGCGTGAACCTCATTGGCCGTCTATCGTAGAGTGTCTGCAGAGCCTTGCAGGGTCGCATGTAGTTTGTAAGAGTCATGGCAGCACGTAGAGATTTATGCCAATACGAGTTGACTGCGTGCTAGTTCACAGTGGCCAACTTCGCCATCATGTCTGCCTTGTGTTCCAGACTCGCAAATTTGTCAACAGTCAGGTTAATCCGACACCTCCTGATGAATGACAAACGCAAAAGGGCAGGAGCTAAACATATGTGGGCAATTGCTAGGCTTGAATAGAAAGTCCAATAAGTCAAGCTGCGTCTCGCGAGCCCCACTTAATTGATTGTTGACAACTGTGCAGACCGGAGACTGGGTTGTAGAAAAGATTTTCAACTATGGTTTCCTTGTATTTCTGCGTGATTGCGGCGCAGTAGACGGTACCTAATAACTAACCGGCTCGACTACATCAGGGCGTAATCGCCAAGAAGGTCTTAAATACGAACTTGTCTACATCGCCGGATCTAAGTATAGTTGAACTTGGCATACTGCAGTAATGCTGGTCTGTTCCTCGGTCTAGCCCCGACGGGCACTCCCGTAAGGCCGGGTGCCTGCGTCTTCTGGTGGTTGCCTGACCGGCCTCGCGTGCGGCTAAACTATGGTGAACAGTGTACAAGGCTAGAGAAAGAGATTAGATTACGGCGCAGATTTATGCTAAAAGAAACGAGAACGTCCCTGCATATTTCGCTTCGGGAACTTGGCATACCATTGTGTTGAATTAATCTCCTGTGTGATGGTAGCTGAAGCTGTTATTTACTGTTGAGACTGATTTAATTGGCTAAAATTGAGCCAAGTTGATAATTTTCAGAGCGACGCGCTTTGTAGGTGTTGGAACACCTACAAGCTTCCAAGTTATATTCCTGGATGGTAGAATCACAACGTATAGAGGGAAGCTGTACGATCTAAGGTTTGCTTGTTGTAGTAGAAGATTGCGCATTACGCTAAGTTCTGTGTATGTTTCTCCATGTCACTCCGTACTCCTCCAAAAGACCGCAGGAAAAGTGATGATATTCTGCCTTCCAACAATGCGCTATTGTTTGCATGTACCACTTTGTCTTTGATAGTCTTGACTGTAGAACTAGCTGCGAGATTGACATCCGGTTTCGCTATTTATACCCCAGTCTTAGATGGTGAGGGTAGTGCTGTTGGGGGGTGACCGAGTTCATAACATTCGGCGAAGATCATAGTGTCGTTCAACCATGTCTCGCCACCAGGTGTCTCTCTCATGATCTTGTACCACGTATTAGGGCATCTGGAAGCAACGGAAGAGGCACCGGAGCTCTTTGCTGACCACCAAGATGAGGCCGAGCTAGCATAAGACCAGTATGCCGGAGTCATGGTTGGCGCTACAGTGCTCGTGAAGGCACACCATCTCGAGGCGTCAGGGAACGGGCATGCTGGAATTCTGTTGCCGGTAGGATCTTCGATGGGGGTGCAACCTTCATACAGCTTGTCAGCGTAAGAGAGCAGAGCCGTCAATAGCGTTCCAGTGGGCTTTGGAGGGTCGAAGTATTGTGTAGCGTTCACTGTAGCGCACTGCCACGGATCGCTGGTGATAGTCGGAACATCTCGAGGTAGGAGTGTTTTGTGAGCCGGAGCCACAGATGCAGTGGCTTGCAATATGACAGCTGTAGTCTGAACAACGTGCATTGTGAGCTATTGGAGAGAAGAGGAGTAAAAGAGAATGGCGGTATCAGAGACACTGTCGCTGAGGCACGATGGATATCGATGATCTTTTCAGTCTATAGTGTTCTAACACAAGAGGCTAGCTTGATAGTGCACGTTGACAGATGCTGTGCCGCAATTCTAGATCAGGGTATTATGACTAGCTTAGAGATACAGGTCTGAGCCACCCTAGAAAAAATTAATCCCTGCTGCATCGAGCTCCTGGGTGCCTTACGACACTAAGGTACCTTGGGTAATGTCTTGCGACAAACATTTTTACAACGCAAGCGAGGATAGTCCTAAAATTAAACTGGCATTGTCCTGCGCCTCTACATGATGGTTCCTGGCTTGTAAACAAGACAAGGATCGGTATGCAGCTGTAACCTGATCTTTAAGACAGTTCAAAGTCAGGATATTGCTCTGCCAAGGCCTGCTCCACGGCCTGGATGCATTCTTCTTTCTTGTAATGCTCGAGATCCGGCCATCCATGCTCTTGATAAATTCTCTGCAGCATAGACTCCATCTCGCCATCGTCTGAGTACCCGGAGTACGAGTCAATCACCTGCCTGGAATTGACTGGTATGAAGCGAAGCTGCTCGAACTGCTCCCGGAGCATTGCAAAGAAGTCGGGAATCGTCCAAGCTGGGGCATCGCAACGCCAATTAGCCTCTTCTTGAGAAGCCCATGCGTCGCAATCGTCCTGAACTTGCTCCTGGCTGGTCTCGTGTCTGATCTCGTCGGGGCATTCCGGCCAGTAGGCAATCCCATACTTGGTGTCAAGTACGACAAGGGGAGAGTCTCGGCCACCCTCCATTAGACCAATAATGAAAGGAGTAGTTGCGAACGATACGGACCCCTCAGTAAGCATTGTGAGGCCATATTCCTTCGCAGGATCCACACTTTCGTTGCCCTTGGTGTACTTTGTCCAGTTACAGAAATTTGCTCCGGGAGCACCCTGAGGTCGCTCCCATTCTGGAAGGTCCAAGTGTCGAAGATATGGAATTTGGCGCAGCAGAGAGATAACTATATCTGATTTTCCCAGACTTCCAAAAGCACCCTCAGTTATCATAGGCCAGCCCCCTTCAGGTGGCCATTCCACAGACGCTTCGTCGAGATACATTTTTGTGAGAAATTGGAAGAATTTCTTGATGGCACCGACCGATGCACTCTCCGTGTAGCGAACCTCATTGAGTTCTGGCATATTGTTGATGCCGTGCGGGGCGGGGCGATCGAAGGCAGAATCTGCGAAAGGATGAGGAAGTATAATTGATTTGCACAACTTCTGCATGCTCTGATATAGGGACGCCGGGCACCCGGGGTCCACACCGCTTCGCTATAAGCGGGCCTCGGTCCGCGGGATAAAACATGGGTGGTGTCGAGGTGGCCATAGCGATCGTTGTCCGGAGGCGGCGGTACCGTTGTGGAGCGCGCTCTGCCTAGCGTAGCGAACCCCACCACCGTGCCGCAACACACTACAGAGACTCGAGCCCTGCAGGTATGAGCCGTGAAGTAGACGGGCTGACAGTTCTAATTACAATGTCCATCCTGTATGGGGATGTTCGAGAAGAGTGCTGGGACGCGAACATTAAAAGAGAGATATGGTCCCCCAAGATGGGAGCACAAGACCAGTTCGTTTGTTTATCTTGTTACTGATCATTTTGTTACTGAGTCCCGACCAGTATGAGATCAATCTTCTTGTCTCTTTTGTGGGGGGGAGGTGTTGTGCGCTCCGCTATAAACCCCGACGGCACCCAAGCTGTCGAGCCTGTGACAGCAGTCGATAATTCACCTATCGGTGATCTGACAACGTACTACCCTGATCAGCACGACTGTCCACTTGGATGCAAGGACGTTACAAATACGCATAGCTGGATAACATATTTCTCAATCGACAGGCTTCGTCGCTGCAATGAGACAATGCTCTTGCAGTTCTCCGTATCCCAGCCTTTAGATAATCCAGATTCAACCGTATTGATCCGCAGCTGCACTCTTGGATCTGTCAATGACAAGGCCGCCGCCGTTGAAGCCGATCTGCCAACGGTAGACAACCCGAAAAAAGATGACAAACTCTTTCTACCAAGCCTTGAGTCTGCCCCAGCTTGCTCTTCCGAGGGCATTGAGAGCCAGGACCACATCCAGCTTTCTACTAGCAGTGGGCCTGGTAATGTCTCAATCGAGCAATCGGGCGATATTGGAGGCGTATTGGACGGAATGAACAAATATTTCTCCGCAAAAGACAACTGCGACGAGTCCTTTATATTTGCCTACCATCAGCAAACGGTGGGAGCAGTGTATGTTGGAGACGCGATTGGAAAGGGTACTGTAGACTCAGCTCTGCAGGCCCTAAAGCAAAGCATCTCGTCCAACACTGCAGTCGCTTCCCGCACGGTAGCCGAGCTCTGCGGTAACGGTCGTTCAGGCGAGCGCAGTTTTGGTGTAGCAATCGATACAACGGGCAATCTGGCCGGGGTGCAGAAGTTGGCGCATGAGTGGAGTCAAGGCAAATGTTTGGCGCAGGAAGGCGCCAGCACTTTGACAGAGGTAACAGTGAGGGAGATTGCCACTGGGCACAATGGCACGAGCGCCACGAACAGCACTACCGACAGCTATACTTCAACGGCCTTACCATTAAAACGAGGGCATGGCTTCCATGGCCGACACACTGGTCACATACACCGGCAGAAGCGTGCTGGACCAAAGCCATCGGCCGACGGCACTTGTGCTACTCATCTGATCGGCAGCGGCGACACATGCGATAAGCTGTCCAAACAGTATGGCGTCAGCATCGACGACTTAGAGAAGTGGAACAAAGGGAAAACATGGGCCTGGACCGAGTGCAAGGAAGCACTTATCGGCTACAACATGTGCGTTAGCGACGGTTTTGCTCCACTACCTCCTCCACAGCAGGGTGCTGAATGTGGTCCTTTGGTCCCCGGTACCAAGGCACCCACTGACAAGTCTGTCTCTATTGCCTCTTTAAACCCTTGTCCATTGAAGGCTTGTTGCAGTAACTGGGGTTTCTGTGGTGTTTTCCCTGCTCATTGCGACATCCACGCACCTGAAGGTGGTGGCCCAGGCACCAAATTGAAGGACTTCCAGAATACCTGTGTTGCCAATTGCGGAAACGAAATCAAGCAAAACTCTGGTCCACCGGCAGCGTTCCAGCGCATAGGTTATTACGAATCGTATAACTTTGGACGCGAATGCTTGCATATGAAAGCCAAGAACGCCAATACTGACGGCTCTTATACACACATGCATTGGGCTTTCGCAGACATTGACCCCAACACCTGGAAGCCCGTCATCAACGACTCTGCGAAGCAGTGGGAAGACTTCAAGAAACTGCCTAACATGAAGCGCATCGTCTCGTTGGGTGGCTGGGCGTATTCAACAGAGCCTGCAACATACAATATCATCCGACAGGCCATCATCAACAACCGAGACACCTTCGCCGCGAATCTTGCGAAGTTTGTCCAAGATGAGAAGATTGATGGCATCGATATTGATTGGGAGTATCCAGGAGCTCCGGATATCATGGTCGGTGGTCAGCCTATTGGCAAGACTACAGATGGTCTCGATTACCTGAAGTTCCTGATCGTGCTGAAGAAGGCTCTCGGCAAAGACAAGTCTGTATCGATTGCAGCCCCAGCATCTTATTGGTACCTTAAAGCATTTCCTATCGATCGAATCGCTGCTGCTATTGATTACATCGTGTACATGACGTACGATCTCCATGGCCAGTGGGACTATGGCAACCCTAATGCTTACGACATGTGCCCTTCCGGTAAATGTATTCGCAGTCATGGTAAGCATTGTAACCTATTCCTTCATGTTCTTCGGCTGATACGTGCTACCACTAGTTAATTTAACGGAAACAATGAACTCTTTATCCATGAGTAAGTCGTTCTTCCACAATGCTACCGTCCGACTTAATGTCAAAGCTTACACAACATGTAGTCACCAAAGCAGGTGCGGCCAACAACAAGATATTTGTTGGCGAGGCTAGCTACGGAAGGTCGTTCCACATGGCAAAGGATGGCTGCTGGGGCCCGACATGCGACTTCACTGGATCCAGGACGCAATCAGATGCAGCACCAGGACGATGCACAAATACAGGTGGCTATCTCGCCTATGCTGAGATTGCTGAGCTCATTGGCACTGCTGATGGGCTGAGGATGTTTTATGATGCGAAGTCCAATTCGGACATCGTAGTTTACAAAGGTTCGTTAATTCCATCAACCTTTAAGGTATCTTCCAGATACTAGAGGTATTAATGTTGCACAGGTGATTATATAAGCTATATGAGTACAGAGACCAAGAACACACGGCGCAACGAGTGGCAAAAGCGAAACTTTGCAGGCAGCATTGATTGGGCCGTCGATCTACAATCATTTACAGCGGATGAATACAGCGATGACTCCTTAGAAAGGCCAACAGGTAGTACTGGTTGCGTCATGGGAGAAGATGTGACGCTCGACACAGGCTCGCTCTGCGCATTCTCTTGTATGTATGGATTTTGTCCAGAAAGTCTTTGCGAGTGCCTTGATGAAGGCGAGATGGAGGGACTGCCCCCTAAACAAGCCGATGTTGGCGATGTGGTAGCCTACGATCAAAACAACGTCGAACTGAACCGTCTCTGCAAATGGGCTTGCCAGTACGGCTATTGCCCGGACGATATTTGCCTCAAATCAGAGCCGGAAATTGACACGAGCGTCCCGGAGGTTGGAGAAGTGGAGAACTATTACAACACGACAGAAGTCAGGCTTCAAAATGCGCAGAAATGCGTCCTTTTCAAAGACCCAGCGTATCGAGACGTCTCGGTGAGGGATTGCGAAAAGGTCTGTCACGATAAAGTTGAAGCTGCAAAGGCAGAGGGGAGAACCACAAACTATGGCTGTATCGGCTTCTTCCCTGGAGAGAAAACAATCCCGTGGGAGCAGCCCCCGGGCGCCGTTGCCGCCGCTCCGGGACGGTGCATGTGTGATAATTGGCTGCTTAATGAGCTTGCCGATACGGTTCTCGAGGCACTGCCAATGATTGCTCAGGTATGTCAATGTCCAATATGCAGATTTTCCACAAATCTTGCGCTAACAAAAACTCTTCACAGATTGGCTGTTACATAATCATGCAATCCCTCAAGCTTGTTCTTGATGTAGGACTGCAATTCGTTCCAGGTGTAGGAAAGATTCTTGACGCTGGTCTGGGTACGTATCTTACCCTAGTATTGGTGTTTTACTAGACAATGCTTACACTCCTCTACAGACATGGCCACCACAGCCGCTCAAATGGCCGCATACCTCTATCCCGAAGAAGAGGATCCTGAGGGCGCTTTCAACTGGTGGTTGAGCCCCTGCGGTGGTACGGATCTTGTTCCAGAGGACATTAAAAAGGCTTTTGGTATCTTGAGCCAAGTGGCCGACGGAGTCTCAAGTTTCAAAGCACCAAAAAATCTCAAGAAGGGTGGTAGCAAGAAGGGCGACGACGGCAATCCGCATGATCAGTCGAAACCTCGGTCGACCAACAACAACAACAACAGCGGCAATTCAGGAACGAAGAATAAATGCAACATCCAGGGTGTGAAGACGGAACGGAAAGGCAAAGGCGCCAACACATTACGAATGTTGTCTTGCAACAAAAAGGACGAAACAGAAACGACCGAGATGATTGTCACTTCTCTTGCCTATGGCGCAGGCGCAAAGCCCTTGTTGGTAAAGAAGCAGTGCTCAAAGGAGTATTCCCAGGCTTGTTTCCATTATAGCTCGGCGATCCGAGTAAATAAGCACTGGGCAACACTTACCTGCCCCCAGGCCGCTGCCACAACTAGTAAGATTCGCAAGAATAACAAGGCCGACAGTGCTCCAGCAACCAGAATATGGAAAGAAGAACGCAAAGGCAAAGATTGGATGAACCCCGCGAAACGCCAGGGTCCCAAAAAAAATTGCCAACGAGACGAATACCCGCCGGCATATCTCTTGGTCAAGACGGACGTAGCATGGACACAAGGTGGCATAGACTCCACAGGCCAACTAGTGCGATTTATTCCTGGAGATGAGAATGGTGGAGCCGCCAACACCATGTGGGCAGGAATTTGCTTTAATTCACCACTTCTCGAGCTTACGGACAAGGAGTTTTCCGACAAAGTCATAGCCGCCGCGAACAAGAACCAGGTCAAGCGAGCGAATGCAGTAACCACTTACGCGACGTTTACGGTACCTCATCATCCCGAGTTCACCATCGACAGCTGGGGCCATTCCGCGTCGCCGCCTACAAACGATGGTCTTGAAGTCAATGATTGTTGGCCTAAGGATATCGCTGCCAAGGATCCGGGATTCGCGCTGCTATTGTGTGATCCTTATTATGGTGGAAAAGCCCCTCCCTATGACTATTCAGCTGCTTACAAGAAGGGCACAAACGGGAGTTAGATAATGCGAATAGAAGCAGAGAGATAAGCTATAGTTTGTAATGTACATATTATTCAATCCAAGGTATTTTTCTGTCACGCGTAAAGCACGTTTGCTATTCTCTTCTCACTCTTTGACGAATGGCTGATCAACGACTAAGACGCGCAGTTGATGTTCATCATTAACGACCAGGGCCCCTGCAATAGCATCGTAAACCATAGTACTACGCTGACCGAGGCGCTCTATTGCCTGGGAGCTCCATTATCTCTCGCTCTTGCTTCGACCGGAGAATAAAAAGCATTCATGGGTACACTGGTAAAACAGGTGGCTGGTGACATTTGTCACCCGCACTAGCCACATTTCTGTCAACGCCAATCTAATTTACAGTAATTTATGTGCATCGACGTTTAAACATGTAAGCGGGCGCTGGTGCTGAATTGCTCAGATTGAAAACACGACAACAGCAAGAATCTCACTTTTTGGAATTAACGTAGTTCAACGCAGTGGTGTATTCGGTATTAAAGAACCCCTGTCAATATTTCAATATAACGTGGTTCATAAGCGAGCGGCCACCCCAAGCGAGTGGCCACCCTAACACTAGTGCAGCGCACGCGTAGCAACGCAGCACAACACTACAACAGATTACTATATTGTACGCAATACCACAGTATTATTCAGAAGCGTCGCTATTATCTACATCCCCTACTTCTACCCTGCAGGTGCGGGAGTTGTGCCCAACCTCGCTGCAACGGCCGCAGCGCCTCTCTGCGCGCACCCTCTTCGCAGGCGTCTCGCCGTCCTTACGCCTACTACTGTCTATTTTAGTAATTAAGTCGGATACCTCACCAACTGTTAGAGTTTCCTCTGCGCGTACGTACCGCCTTTTACGAGTCTTACGCTTTGTAAGCGTGTTAACAGCTTCTCGAAGGCTTCTTACTTCCTCTTGTATTAACACTATATTATAAGCTATCTACTAAGCGCCTTTACCTAGCTACTTAACCTGCTCGTCTAATAAGCTTGCTAGTGACCCTTAGTAGTGTTGCATGCGATCTTGAATTAGCGTAGATTGCGCCTCTATCTCGCAGGCGTTGCGCAGTGTTTACGCCTCCTAGGCAACTGTGCCTAGTGCAGGCGGCGTTAGCGTACGCAGCTGCACATCTAGCTTTAATAACACAGCCTCTAGGTTATATAGGACTAGTCTAGCACCTTAAAAGCCTGCGCGAACGTTCTCTAGTGTAAACGTCTTTTTATAAGCTGCTTTAAATGCTAGTAGGAAGGTTTCCTTATTAACATAGTAGATGCGGCTGCGTGCTAAGAGCGAGATCCTATTGCTGTAGTAGCGCTTTAACAGCGAGTAGGGGACAACGTTAAGAGGCTGCAGGAGGTGCGATAAGTAAGATAGCATGCAGAGAGCGATAATCTTGTTCTCCTTACAGTAGTCCTAGAAATCTACTAAGCAGTAGCTCTTATAGCTGTTAATAATAAGCAGCCTATATACCCTAATAAAGGACGCCTTTGTATGTGCATTAAAGTGCTTAAGCTACGCAAGCGCGAGGTTGTTGTTAATCTAGCTAGTAGGAGAGACAGTAATAATCTAATCGCGAGGTAGATCTGCGAACTAGGAGGTAATAAGGACCTTCCCTGCAAAGATAAGGAAGGGCGGGATAACGCGCCCTGTCGCAGAGACGCCTTGTACTAGAGTTACCTACTCGCGATCGCTAGGCTGTAGTTTCTTCTATTTTCTAGGTTTCTCTAAGCTTGTAATAACAAGCTAAGAGGATATCTTGCTTATTATAAAGCTAGACTTATTAAAGTTCTAGGTATCCTTATCTGTAATACTATACTTAGCCTTTCTTAATTAAACAAGCGTAAACTAGGGCCTAATAACTGCTAGGTCCTTGCAGATAGCTCGTGTGAGGAGTAGTTAGGCAGGCACTAAGATATTAGTATAGGCTTGTATTAAGACGAATCCTTAAGGAGCTATTAAGCCTCTTAGAGGGATAATATATATCTACGTTACGTGATCGTAGCTAGTGTGGGCCGACGGTGTCCTAAAGGGTCCCTAGTGGCTCGCTACGCTGTAGCTGGAACCTGTGGTCGTAGAACATCGTAACAGCTCGCTAGTAATCGTACGGACGGCTCTATTGCGTTCGCAGCTTAGGTGTACGCTTAATAAAGTTATTAACCTAGTTCTTGCCTATAAGCTTTCTACTACGCTTTCTTAGCAGTCTATTAGCTATATCTTGTACGTGTGCCTTTAAGGGTAGTACACCTCGTAGAGATCTATCTAGTATGCGCTGTACAATTACCTCCTCTTTAAGCTATGTAAGGCGCTTTAAGTTAGGCTTACATTCGCGTTAAGAGCGTTGTCTAGCGCGTTGGCGGCTGTTACGGTAACTACTGTAGTTCCCTTAACACTAAACGCGCTACAGAATCTAAGTGCTCCGCTAAGCACCCGAATTCTGCTAATTGGCCGGCTAGGCCTAGCGCTATGCGCACGGCCCCTATCGATAACTTCTTACCGCCTGTACATACTAATTCTGTTTCCTTACGTAACGTCTTGTATTACACTAGATATCGTACGTAGCTACAATTAACGCTTCTAGCAAGCTCTTAAAACACGTGCGCGTAGCATCTTGTAACATTACGTTGCGTTAAACTTACTATAACTACCTCTAAATAATCTAACGCTTTGTAACTAATCCTAAATTAGTTAAACGCAATTTAAGCGGACTCTACTTTACTAAAAGTAGACTTAGCCGCGTTAAAAGCTAGTAATAAAGCACTACTCGCTAATCTAGCTAAGTAAGAGAATTAACACGCTTAGCAAATACTAGAGCTCTGTTAAGAGCTAGAGACTATTAAGACTAGGTCTGCTCCCGCTACTACCCTAGCTATTACCTATACTAACACTAAAGGTAAACAAGTTCGTTTAGAGGAGCTATCTAGAATTAGCTCGAAGCCTGCGACGCTGCCTACCGTGAACTAGAAGGACCTGCCCTAAACTAATTATCTGCCTAACCCTCCTCTTTTTAATAGTTAACAAAAGGACTTTCCTGCCTTTGTCCGTGTAAGGGGCTACGCTTAGGGAGCTATCGCACAGGTATACTAGAGTTGTATTCGATAGAGAAGAGAACTACAGGTAGCTAGGGTTCTAAAGGTCGTTTAGGGGGCAGCAGCTCGGGATAACCTTCTGCTAGGCTCGCTTACGCAGAATCTAGGTGCTTAGGGGGGGCACCCGGAATCTGTGGACAGTGCGCCTCGCGCACGTGACTAAGATATTATCAAGGACTCACTAACTAGGCTCTAGCCTATTACACCCCTAGCCTCTCTCCTCTAGGATCTCCTCTACTAGATACATCTCTTCTCTATCTACCTTAATAGGCTCTATCCTAGGGCAGTACTTAGGATTAGCCCTGACCCCGGATAATCTGGTGCTGCAATATACACCTTTGCCTGCGTATAGTGCGTCACGGGGGCTAGCCCTAGAAGAGTTTAAGGTGCTAGACTAGTTAGGTTCCTGTAGGCTAATAGCTCTATCCCAGGGCGCTAATGACATTTAGCCCTCCATGTCGTTAGGGTATTATTTTAGTTAGTGCTCAGATATCCAGATTCCGGCGTAATTTTAGGTACGTAGGCTCCATGGCGTTACATTTAG